CAGGCCGGAAATCTAATCATTAAATTAAAGGATCGTTCAATTATGCGAAATCACATACACACACACACACACACGGTACACGGTGTGAAATGTAAAAATATACGATACGTTAAATTAACGGGCAATCACGTCGCGGAAAATTATGCGCTATATATACGAGATTTGCAATTCTATCGTCTGAATTTACTGTGTCTCGCGCCTCGGATTATTCCACGTGAAATGGGAGAATAGAAGTAAAGAAAATAGAGACTGACATTCTCTCTCTCTCTCTCTCTCTCTCTCTCTCTCTCTCTCTTTCATTTCTCATCTCCTGCGCTGCCGAGTCGGGTCCACGAGAGAGATCCTCGTGACGCCATGCTCGTTCACGAAGAAGCAGCACCGTCGGAATAGACGAGCGAGCGGTCCTAGTCCTAGACAATTCGCGCAGACACGCACGATAGACGCCCGCTAATTTGTGCGTGCTCCATGAGTGCTAAGAGTCTCTCCTCACCCTCCTGCTCCTCCTCCCCGCCATCCACGGTTAATCCATTACCGGGGCGCGCGACGCTACCGAGCCGGCGGCGGCTCCGAAGGTTTCCGCGACGCCCACCAATTTGCTAACCATCGATTTCGGCTGGCACGCACACCCGCGCGTACTACCGCCAATCGCGAATCCGACCTCCCTCTCTCTCCCTCTCTCCCTCTCTCTCGTTTCGTGTTGTTATGTTTAGAAACGCACGCGCGGAACTCTCGTCGGCGGCTCACAGCGCTCGGCTCGCCGCTGTGAACGACCTGCGGCCGCAGGACGATGGATCAACGTTAGACCAAGAGACGATGGTCACCCCCGCTCATTCATGGAGGTGACTATTGTCCTCCAGAAGAGTCGCGAATTTTCTCCGTGTTGGCGCGCTCGCTGACCGTCGCGCAGCGCTTTGTAAATAAATACGCACTTGTCTCGAGACATTATTCGTTGATCTGATTATACAACAATATCGGTGCAACGAAAGGCAGCTAGGACGCGAGAGCGCGATTCCGGTCGTGGAGAGCCAAGCGGAAGAAGAGCGCCGAGGGACAAATTGGTCGTCGAGCGCGCTTGTAGGCGGAGGGGGCGAAAATCGCGGCAAAAAGCGAGGAGAGTGCTCTCGAGAGAACGCGCGCACACACATCGCGCGCCCTCCTCCTCCTCCTCCTCCTGCCTTTCCTTCTCCTCCTTCTTATTCTTTTGCTCGTCCTCGGAGGCTGTAACTAACGGCAGGCAATTAAAACTCGGCCGGCCGCGAGCGTTTAAGCGTCGACGTTTCCGTTCACACGTGCGTAACGAGTCGAGCGGGACGCGCATCGACGCCTCCGTCGCGCAAAAGGACGTCGACGAGCAAGTCCCGCCGTGCCGCGAAGCGACCAGCGAGACGAGATTTAAGGCCGTCTGAGCATTCACGGTCCCCGAAGCGCTTCTACCGCGTGTTCCGCGTGTTCCGCGCGACCAGAAGCCGCGCACATGGCGGCTCGCCGAAGCTGGGCTGGCCTCGAGCGTCGTTCCTCTTCGCTCGCGTCGACGCGATGTCTCGCACAATGTAGCACAATGGAATTTCAACGTTATCGCCCCGACGGAGACGCGCGCGCGTCCCTCGGACTGGACTTTTGCTGCGCCCTGCGCTTCAACTCGGAGTCCTTTCCCGTCGGAGGCCATCGCGCAGCCGAGCGACTGCCATTCAACGGCGAAGTCCAAGTCCGCGATGCAGTCCTTCAACATCCCATCGCATCTGGCACTGTCCCCGATTGGATTCCCGATTATTCGGGTACCGAGCGCGGATGTGACGTTTCCCAAATTGGAGAAAGGTTTGAGGCAAAACAAACCTCCATCCCTCTGTACCCGGATCTGAATCTAAGTTTGTAGCCAAAATCAGCCAAACTGATATGTTCGCAGCAATATAGATTCCTCTCGAAAATTTGATAATCGACAAATCAATGTTTCGCCACTTGAACGATGGAACGATGGATTTTGTGAACGATGGATTTTTTATTTATCTTGTTCCTCTTTTTTATATGATTCGAGTCTGGATTGCTGAAACACAGACGCGGTCGAATGTACAGAAGCGACTATGACAGCCAAAAATTTTCTTCCAGGGAGTCTTAATTTGTGCCTGCATTTCTCGCTACTTCAACTCGATTCCGGATTCTTCTATGACTTGTATGTATTTCCTCTCAGTTGTTTGGCTATCTTTGTTATTGCATGTCCGAGACGAGAGACGATCATTAAGGGATAGGGCTAAATTATGAGCTAAACGATTCCCTGTTTTCTACAACGCCGACCTGGCGCGTGCCTGGCATTTTCCACTGCGCGACGTGGTCTGCCCCAATTTGTCAGTGACTACTTGCGGGGTGAAACTCGCCTGGCCGATTGCCACTCCTTGATACGTCGCTGGAATTTATAGTCGTTGATTCCGCTTCAGGGGGATGATGTGCCGGATAAAGCACGCTGGAACCGACTCGTCTCACCTCGTGCTTGCTTTGCGACTAATTATATCCGCGACCAGTTTCTTCTTTGCACGGAACATAATGTCGTGCCTGGCGAGTTCGCCGGATGAAATATCGATAAGCCTACATCGTATCGTTCGTCGATACGTCACGAATAGTCAAGGAAATCGTTCCTCAAATATTCTATTTCGAGCGAGGACTTTGTTTCTTGCTTGCTGAAACGGTCGACCACCGGGGGAGGAGGAACGTGAGAATCGCATTTAAACGCTTTTCATCGCCGACGCGATGCTTGTCTCTCTGACTCTCTTCCTGCTCTCGCTCTCGCCTCTCTGTGTCCCTCCTCTAATTTTACAAGGCGTTAAGTGCCACTTTGTCGGGCCTTGTGCCCGACTCTTCAACTCCACCGATACTCATTTCCGCCTTTCTGTCGCGCAAATGAGCGCGAGCGTTTGCCATAAACTTCTCAGATGACAGCTCGTAAAAGCATTGTGTATCCGCCGTGATCCAGTTCGCGCGAAAGAGTATTAATAATACCGAAGTATTATGCTTACAGGTTTTCAGGAAATGTCACTTTAACGCGATTACAATATCCTGATCGGAATAAATTGTTGGACGTAATTATAGTTGGCATTAATTATCGTTATTACAAACACGAGATGAATTATATATATATATATATATATATATATATAGATGTGATCAAGATAGTAGCCGGTATTCAATTTATGCGGACATATAATCAAAGATATAAATATAGATCGCCATTGGAGCATTAGAGAAGTGCTCGGAAGGAGATAGCGGTATATACGAGATAATTTTAGGATCCAATTAAAGTGACGGCATGCTAACGAGTATCGAAATAGTATCATTATGGTGATGCACCGATTAGCCGGCTCGAAACCATCTACGACGTAAATAATCCATGGGCGTAACCCGTTCTAAAATTCTACGTATATGAGACACGCGTGAAGTAACGTGTAATGTTCCTAACGACGTTGCCGCGTAACAATTTATATTCTAGTAACCAAACTGTCTCTCTTTCTCGAAAATTAATAGCGACATATTTCTCCAATGCTTATGAAACAACAAAACAACCGAGTAGGTAGGCGATTATTTAATATTTGGATAATGTCTTGAGAGTAATGAATGCACGTAGTAAAATGAAAATAAAACAACCGGTAGTTGCATTAAAATTTATGATGATTTTTTTATGAGGATATAAAAATTTAAATTATAATTTCGTCCTTCTCACCAAAAGGGAAAAGGGATTGAGAGATGCTCACTTCTCGTTTACATCAACAATTTTTACGAGTGCAGAGAGTTTGTGCGATGTCGAGATGCAATCAACTAAATTAATAGTCACACGATTAAAAATATATATCTATGCCGATATGAGGCAACGAAATCGGATGATGTATCACAAATAAGCACGTCTCGTGAATATCTTCGAGGATGTTCCACCCAAGATGTCAAACTTGATAAGCCCTCTCATTAGGAGCTCGCGAAGGTGACACTAAGGATAAAGGATTAATGGAGAACACGTTGAGGATACAAAATACGAAGAAAAACAAGCTCGTTAACGTCGATCATTTCACGCGTCTCGAAGATTGCAATTAGTCAAAATTTCTTCTGGCTTCAAAAATTACACGTTAAAATTAGTCATTATAATAAGAATGCGATATTCGTTGCTGAGGTTTATTGTATGCGCCAATATTGTAAAATAATTAAGGTGAGAAAAAGAAATGTTTCCAAAGTGCATGATAACATGTATTTTATATGTAATTAACCTACTTTGGATTATACGCCAGTACCTAGGTCGGTACTGGGTATAAAAAATATTTTTAGACGCGACCCAACCGAAGCAGGTTGGTCAGAGATTCTGCAAATTGTGTCAACTTATTACGCTGTCTCTTCTCAAGTATGATTTGTAATTATTACTCTCGTATCCCTCGTAAAACATCGATAAGAAATTAAAATCTCTTCTAATCCTGGAAAATGTTTTCGTTTTGTATCTTATAAAATAAAATTATTAATTTAGTCGTGTCGCTATAGAAAATCAAGTTGCGCGAATTTATTTGCAACAAATTTGCAGACAAATTCATATCTGCACGCCTGGGCTTCTCGCCCTTTGGGGGGGGGAGGGGGGGGTGATTTTTGGAAATTTCACTCGCCGAGAGCGATCGGAGGATTCTTCGGTGCCGACGTTACTCACACGAGGTTCATCTGATATTTGAAAAATATTAATTGCACCGTCGCGTTGCCGTGACATTTAAAAATGGACTTTATGCCGCGACTATCCTCAACTGTCCACCACTTCGAATCTCATAGCGCCCGAACAACGCGAGCACAAGCACCTCGGATGAAAAGCCAGCACCAAGATGGTGGGTCAGTCGACGATAGGCGCGGCCAGACGATGCCGTTGGTTCGTGTTGCGACCAATCAGGGTCGAACGAAGGTCGGTACTACGCCATCCACCACGCTGGAACGGCGCATGCTGAGGAATCACGAATTAAAATACCCTGCTCTATACCCTCGGCAGTCGCCCGTCGACCCGTGCGCCATACGGTCGTCACACGGTGTAGTGGTGCGCAGTGTGTAGTCTCACCGGTTCTCATCATCGTCCCCCCGTCGTCCTCGTCAACGGAGCAAACATCTTCTCCGAGGATAGGACCTCGATTTGCACGAGGGAGGAGAAACGACCCGTGCGTGAAGTGCGTCTGAAGAATTCCGCAAGGTATCCTCTAAGCTGGAGGAATCATCATCGTCCGAGCGGAAGCATTATTGCCAGCAAAAATCATTACCGCTTGTCTCCCGCGAACTTGCGCTGACGAAGACTCGCTGAGTTGAAGACCTGTCTGATCAATCCCTACGTGACACGTGTAGTGCTGACTTAACGTTCCGCGACGGTCTCACAGGACGGTCCTCGAAATCGCTACGGACAAGTTTGCTGGCTTATCCGTCTGTCAGACAGTTCGGATCAGTGCGCGTTCATTGAGAACACCTGCGAGATCTCGATAACCCGATGTTCAAAGCGCGAAGGGTCGATGGAGGATTGTGATGCAGTTATCCTTACTCGCCGTGCTACTCCGTGGTAACATTCTCTGCACAGTGTGAGAGCGACCCCGCAAGTATCACGCCTCATCTTTGTGAATTCGCGCCGTAATGACCAGCAGTGTGCTCCTGCGGGCCGAGAGACTCGAGGAAGGCTCAACCGCACTCACAAAGTGCACTCCTTTGCGAAACGTGCGATCGCCATGAAGAGATTGTGATTAGTGCCAAAGTACATCGGTGTACACGTCGAATGCAAGTATGCTCCGATCACGATTGCTGCACGACGAGGTGACTGCAAACGCGCGGGAATCGCTGCCGATGGAACGTTGAAGTAACCACCGTCTTCGCTCCAACTGTCGTGCCGATTGAAAAAGACTAGATAACTTCTAATGATGTAGCAACACTAATAATCAAGCAAGCCATATTCAGCATCCTGATGAACGGAACTTACTCATCGCACACCGCAGAAGAACAAATTTGCCACAGCTGTCGCAGACTTAAGACTCCACGCGGAATGAGACCAAATGGAGGAATTATATCATAAAACGGCCGATGAGAAACACATCCCCGCTGACGTGGCGCGTTTCAACGTGAGCCGAGTAGCTTACCCGGCAGCTTGATCCCCCCGATGCCGACGATCCGAGCATTGTCGTAGCGCATACGAACCTCGCTCGGGCCCCCTTCGACACGCTAGATCCGAAATAAATCATCCGAGTCGTTTCTCTCAAGGTGCTCTCGAAAGCGGAATTCCAAGAGGGAGAGGGAGGGAGCAACCCGAACTCGCTTTCCCGATTTCGCGACGCCCTGAGCCGTGAGAGAGCGGATTATGCCTCGCACGTAGTAGCTCGTCGGCTCGCGATCGGTCCGGCTCGATTTTCGGCACCAGTCAGTCGGATCCAGCCAGGCCCGGGTGGTCATGGACGCGAGCGTGGAGGAGACCGAGCTGGACGTCGGCTCGGCGAGCGACGAGCTGGAGTCGTCGGTGGCGGAGTCGAGGCACACGCGACGCCCGACGCCGCGATCCTTCACGATCGAGAGCCTGATCGGGGGTGCACGCGAGGTCCACGACACCGGCGGCAGCGGCGTCGCGAGGGATGACCGGACCAACGGCAGCGAGGAGGAGGACCACCGGGATCGGGAGTACCAGCTCTATCAGAGGCACTACTTGGCGACCGCCGCCGCGAGCACGCTGCCATCGGGTGAGTATTCCTTTTATCCTTTCTTCATTCGGGATGATCGAGACCAGCAATGGTCGCCGCACCGTCGAGTCTCTACCTGAGGAAAAATATAGTCCTACCTAAAAATAAGTCGTAAATAAGGCTGTGAGTAAAAAATAAGGCTGTAAGTTCCGCAAACATCTCTTCTGGAAATGTTCGAAATTGGGGGCGGTGGGACGCGTGTTTCAAGGTGTTTCCTGAAGGTGTGCGCTAGACGCGGCCTGTATTGCAGAGATGTTTCTTTCTTTCTTTAATTGTGTTGTTCGACCCTCGCAAAAATGTAAAAGCCATCGTTGTAGAAACTTGAGCGACTTCTGTGCGAGATTACGAGCCGGGCGTGGATTATTCTCGCTCGCTTTTCGGTCCGTTCCGCCGATTTCATAAAAACCTGATCGACGAGAGATAAAATCGCCAAGACTGCGGCGAATAGATGAAATTGGAGGCGCGCGTGTGCCTCTGATCTCACTTCATTGACCCCTTGCGATAATCGCGCAAGCGCGTTTCGCTCCCCGAATGCATTGAATGATATACTTGACGCGTAACTCAGCGAGACGCCGCGGTGTCTCCGTTCAACGTGTTAATGCCCGAGAACGGTTGAGAATAATTAATCGCGAGGTGGATAACGTAATTCTCGCGGGAATCAGTTTGTCTTTCGGGCGCATCAGCGCAGAGCTTGCAGGCGCCCTGCGCGGCGCGTCTCATTTCGCGCGAACAGCTTGCTTGGATATCCGAGTTGATTCCGACGACACGAGTCTCTCTACGAGCGATAAGTTCGCTTCTGCAACATCGAAGCGGGCGCGGCGCTTTATGAAGGTAACGTCGCGACTGCGGCTCTAAAATACGGCCGCGGCCGTATGAGTACGTAAAAATGAGCGGATCGATAACCGGCGCGAAGAGCGCGTTGCGTTCTCTCACCTCGGTGATGTTTCCGATATTCGACGTTGCCGCTGCGGCACTTAACGCGCTTTTCCTCCGTAAATTAATAAAACGCATCGTCCTCGCGTACGCGCTAAAGAACCCGTCCGCCGAGCCGCAGGCGTCGCGGTGTCCAGGCGAAGCTCCAAAACGTGAAAAGATAGCAGGTGCTGGTGACGTCCCGCGAGCCTATAATCTACGATCACGGGTATGCACGTAATTGAAGCCTTCGCTAGCTGGCCGTCTCTCTTTCTCCTTCGCGCTTCTTATGTGCGGCTTGGTCTAGCGTGACGCAGTTAGGTCGCCAGCCACGTCGTTAAATGCTAGTGCGGGTTACATAAGTACGTAAATTGGAGCCGATTTATGACTGTCATGCAATATACGGAATTGGCACGCACGCCGAAACTTTGCCCGGGACAAAGAGAAAGATTGATACACGTCACGCACTTGGCGGGGAAGAAAAGAACGAGCGAAGTCATGCGCGACGCATCGGTACGCGTTGGGCAGTTGGCTCAGAAGCTCAGTGAAAATGGATGGAGGAAGCTAAAAATTAAAAACCAAATTCAACCGGAGGGAGAGAGAGAGAGAGAGGGGCAAAAGAGCAACGGGAGCGAATCGGATTAACGTGAGACGTGTTCGAGCTGAAGAAAGTAACGTAAGAATAAACGAGCGAGACACGTCGTGCGAGGAGAAGCTGAGTAAACGGAAACGAATCGTCAAATCTAATTCATTCCTGCTGTCTCGCTCATTAGATGTTAATAGCGGGTGTTGGAGACATCGTAAATGAGAAGCCGTTGGTAGAATATTTCATTTGCCGCCTTTCATATCGGGTTAAGCGGGTCTTGCGTTTCTCCGTGAACACGTTCGCTAAAATAGCCGAGGAAAGGGATGACGTGACAGATTTTTAGATGATGGCGAGAGGCGATTCTCGCGCGAATGCAATAGAAAAATTAGCGCATTCAGTCCGCGGTGCTGAAAGCACCTCTGATACCCGCAGCGAGTCAATTTCCGGCTACGATTACTAGCGATCCGTGCAGTCGCCTTAGATGAAACAGTTAATTGCATTGAAATCGGCAACGAGATGGATATCTCGAAACCGAGTGGCTGCTGAGAAACGGTCGACTGCTGAAGAACGGAACGGTTCAATCAGGAGCCAAATCTCGTTTTAGACGCGACCATGTTTAGACCCGCCGATGATTTGTCCCTCGAATCAACTTGTTCACGCACAGCGCAAAACACATATTGCATTCAAGTAAAGGTTACTGATTTCAAGCAAGCTTATGAGTTTATACACCCGCAAAACTATCACACAAATCCGAATTTGCATTCAGCATCAAATACATCTTGTCGCAGCAAGTTTAGTATCTCAGAATCCAGAATATTAAGCGAAACAAAAGTCCAGTTTTTTTCTCGCGAGTATGGAGTGCAAATTTCCATTTGAATTTGATCTTACTTTAATATTCTCGCAAAGAGAACGAAAAATCCCCCGTCCTTTTTCAGCGGAGGAGGAAAGTACGTCGCGAGAGGAAATAGTTAACGGTTATGAGTAGCGGACTCACTTTGTGTCCTCAGCGCAATTGTTCCTCTCAGCGGGTAGAGTGACCATTCTCTCGCGAGCGTGTACAAATGAACAAACGGCCAATGAATAAACGGTACGCCAACCACTTTGCAGGTTTCGGCGTGCCGCTCGGCCTCTACAGCGCCTGGCTGCCGATGCGGATGTACGGCGGTGGCGGTGCATCCGGTGTCCCGATGCTGCCGCCGCAGCATCCGTCCGCCGGCTACCCGGCGCACCCTGAGCTGCACCAGAGCCGATTGAGTCAGCATTCGGCACCGATACCCGGCCACCCGCAGGGCTACTATCCGCTGGACAGTTGCCGTCGCGCTGCGAACCAGCGGGCGCCGAGCAGCTTCACCGACAGCGAGGACGAAGAGGGCAGCGTCGGCTCGCCGGCCTCCCCGGCTCACGACCTCTCCAAGTCGCGGCACGGTGAGTGCCGTTTCTTCACGCTGTTTTTAGGGTTGCAGGCCTAGGGGTGGCGTGTCCGCGAGCTTGATGAGGAACCCGAGCGCCAAGGGACGCTTGACGTTGGGTCATCGTGAGCATCGGTAACCGACCGGTTTCGGGCTCGATAAAACGCCTACGCCCACCGTTACGCCAACCTTTGGTTGGCAGCGGTTGGCTCCAATCGCGTTCACGAAACGAGAGAAATCGGCGGTTCCGACTGCGGAGCATTTATGAATTCCGACGGCGTGTCCTCATCGGTCACGATCGCAGTCGCCACGATCGACCGCAAAGGATCGAGATACACGGTAGTGCGCATAAATTATCGCGCTCCCGTGGCCCGATCTTTTCGTACGTACGTATCGTGTATCGTATGGTTGTATGTGTATCGGTGGACTTGTGAATGTGTTCAGTGCTACGCCGTATCTCGCCGTGTATTCTGACCGAATTTCCAACGTGTCTTTGAGGAAGCGATGTCTCAGTCAGCGTATTAATATTTAATTCTCCGTATTGCTTACCTTCTGTTTTCCTTCTGCCGAAGAAAGATTTCGAGAAGCAAAACAGAGTTAAACAAACGGAGTGTCCTTCCGAGTAGAGCAACAACGCTTGACGAAGGCGAGGAATAATTCTCAAGATCTCCACCGTCTTTATTGACGCGTTCAGCCACGAGACGAGCGGCTGCCTTCCCGTATTTTCGCGAGATTTCTCTCGAAGCTTCAGCTTCGAGGCTTGCCCTCGAGCTTTGCCGAGATAGCTTCTTCAAGAGATGGCAATTCTGGTCCCGAACGCGCCTCCATTCGATCGCCGAAAGTCAAAGAGTACGTGATCGGCGATCACGTATTTCCGAGGGGACGATTCCGACGGTGTACACAAGCGCGCGCATTTATTCGTGGCCGGACACACTTTTTATTGATGTACCGCCGACCGGCGATGATTTCGTATGCGAGACGAAATGGCTTCGGGGAATCTGTCATCGGTCATTTATGACGCACCGCGCCGAACCGGTGCGTCGTCGATCGTCACGGCGCGCCGCGGTGAGGCGCGATCGCGACGTTCCATGAATTCGTCGCGATCCACCTACGTGCGGGCATCGCGTTCTCCTCGCGATACCCGTCGTGGATTACCCACCGATCTTGATCATGCCGAGGTGAATCGGGAGAACGAAAGCACAAGCCAAGTGGATCGGGAGGTTCCGCCGAGCGCAATTTTAAAATGGGTCTTGATTGAATTCGCATTTTAACGATTTTCAGATTCAACCGATACAAATTTAAGGTATCTGGATTCTAAACTTGGATGTAAAATTTGACTGTTATCTGATAGAGGATAATCTAAAGGTATAATAAGTTCTATCACACAGCCACGAATTTCAAAGTCCAATAATTTCAGATTCATTAAAAATGTGACACGTATAAAAGTTTCAAAAGATCCACTGAAATATTAACTGGAAATAAAATTGAAGTTCCCCTAAGAAAATCAGATCAAACTTTGTATTAAACATTGAACAATTGAAACAATGAATATTTGATTGCGATGAAACGATGCGAGTTTAAGATGGAACAATATGGCAAACAATTTATTTGCCTCTATATACAAGTTTTGGAACAGAGTATAACGTTAAATGTCGCTTCACAATTTAAAATAGCCCCACAATTTAAATCGATGAGACGCAGGCATGTACCGAGCGCACTTGATGCATAATAATTCACGTAGCGATTGTTAAGTAACGGAAGTAGGCAAGTTGGCACGTAAGAAATCGAATTGACAGTTAACACGGTGTTTAGCGCACTCGCGTATGCGTTGCGCATGCTATTTCCGCATGAGATCGGTTTTATTCTCGATCGGCGGTGAATTTTTATACAGTCTACGGACGAGCAGTTATTTTAATGCGATCGTTGGTCGAGACGATGCGTCATAAATACGCAACGATACAGCTAAGAAGATTCTATCGATTGTCGCGGCTATTACCAAGTGACGGGAAATTAAAAATAATTCCTCCTCGTAACGTTCGGCACCTTTGAACTTTTCGACTCCGCTGATTCCGTATTTGGGAAGACCGGCAATTTCTGCATCGTCTGCGCGTTTACGAAAATAGCTCCAATGTATCAAAGAGCTGATATTCTTTTCTCATAACTTTGATAATTTTGATAAAATTATACAACAACAGTTGTTCTAAATTGAGGAGTTCTAGATATACCTTGTGAGGATACAAAAGTTCGAGCAAGACTATGACTTTTTTCATAAAATGGAAACTCGATATGTGTTTGAAAAATATATTAAAAATCTGTGAAATCTCTGCTTATATATAAATGACACGCAAATTTGATGTGTAATTAAATTGGGTCAAAGTGGTCACTAATTGAAAGTAACGAGTAAATTTCTGATGACTAAATTTCCGCTATCGTCTTATGAGTACTTCATGAGATACTTCGATTAATCATTCGCGAGTTTATCAAGAGTGTGCATCTGCGGCTTTGAAAGCGGTTGCCGAAGAGTACAGGAATATCGGATCCGCGAGAGAACATCGCGCATAGATATATCGGAGACTGGATTAGATCCGGAGAACGGATAAGTACTCCGAAATGAGAGCGAGTCTCGCGATATTCACCGGCGAATTATTAATCGCTGTCCCAGATGCGACACCGCGGAAAGTGTGTTAACGGCGTTTTCATCATGAGAACATGAAAACCGGCTGCATGAATCGGGGATGAAGAAGAGTTGAGCGGAGCTTTTGACTGCCTATGCAACATTTAAGGTTTCATTCACGGCGACGCGCAGGCGACCCGACTCCGCCGTCGCTGTGAGAAATTCAAACGATGAACGATCGTTCATACCGTTTCATCTCACACGTCGGGAATAACGTGTTTGCCGCGATCGATTGAGCGACGCTTTTTCGACGTGAACGACTAATTAAACGGCGAAATAAGGCAAAATGACACTCGCATAAATGTAGGTTGCGCAGAGGATTTCTTTGCGAACCATTTACAAGGATAAAACGGAAGGCGGATTTTTTTCGCATTAAGCGAAAATTGACGAGCCGTCCGTTTCGTCCAGTTATTTTCACGTTTCTAACGATTACTTCGTCTCGCCGCACGAGTGGTGCTATGGTAACATGGAAATTAATTTCTTCTCTCTTCCCAGCTGTCTCTTTCTTCCTTGATGAGTTGATTTGATTCACAGCGCGCGCGCGATTAAAGCGTCACCAAATATTTTCACTTACACACGGGCGCATCAACTCGAAATACTTGGTTGTTATTCCCGGAGAAACAGGACCGATTCCGAATTCGCGTGAATAACGCTTCCATCCGCGAAGCGTATAATTAAACTAATTTTAAAGTAATCGCGCGCCATGTGATCGTTTATTTCCACGTCGCATTCAAATCCAATTTGACGACATTCAAACAGCACATCGTGGTAGGATAACCATCATATGCCACTTGAATTTTAATCGCGAGCGCCGATTCTGCTCCGCGGGAAGCCGATTAGCGTATCGCGCGCATCGCAGACGAGCGGAAGAATCACATTTCGATTTGGCGTGCGAGACGAAAGGTCCTTTTAGATCGTGCCATTCGTCATTCATAGCCATCGGGACGACGACCGAGCTCGCGGTGATTATATGAAGGACCGGCTTCTCGCGGGCAAGTAACGTGTAACAAAGTGCCTGTCGTGTCACCGTGAATGGGAGCCGCCAATTCTGCAGCGGCATCGCCGCTGACGCGACGTTCAGCATCATGCGATATTTATAAGTCCGGCATTGCAGAATTAACGATATAACCGGTATAACTCGGTCTATAAATTGCAGGCGACTCGACGATTCGGCAATTAGCCGTGGCCGTTGATTACGATGGACAGCGGTTAAAGAGGAAAATCGAGTCTGATCAACGTTACACGATTAGATGGGATAATTAGATGGGATCTTCGAATAATAAAGTATCTTCAATCCCGTAGTTACATTTCTCATAATAATATCTTGGTTAAGATAAGAGTGAGTGACGAAAATCTCCTCAAGTGCCCTTATTAGCTTTCGTTGCTCATTGCTTATTTACTGTTCAACCGAAGATTTTTGTGGATAATTAATTTTGAATTATATTAATTGCAAGCTTCTCAAATAGAAGGAAAAGGGAAAAAGAAGAGAGAGATACAAAAGGAGAGATATCATTACGACAATGGCAGCATAAATTTCGGATTGAGGAGGTTCCACAATCCGTCGGATAATATTATTAATTTTCCACCTGATATTCTCAATTCAATATCTTATCGTGAATGTCTGGTTAAGTATACGAATTAATAATAGAATTTAGAGGAAACAAGAGGGAGGGCGAGGGAGAAAGAGAAAGAGAAAGAAAGAGAGAGAGAGAGAGAGAGAGAGAGAGAGAGAGAGAGAAATAGAGGGGCGACGGTTGAACCAGCGTTTCGCTATATCGATCGTTGCAGTGCTCGGCAACGTCATCGTGCGGCGAACTGGCAGGGCGACCGTTAATAAGCTCGATTGAAATTTCATGTCGCATACCCAAAAATATACTCACGAAGTCATACGCGAACGGCCGAACGCGAGCGGTGAACGAGCGCTTCCTCCGACCCGATCCCGATAATTGCTTCCGGCGATCGATCGCGCTGGGCGCTATATCGGGCCGCGATCGAGCAAATTATTCTCGAACGAGGTCGCGAATCTCTCTTTCTTTTTCTTTCTCCCTCTCTTCCTCCTCTTTTTTCTTTCGCCCGACTCGTTAAACGCTTAATAAGCCGGACATATTTCTTAAACGATTGGAGACACACGTGGAGATCGAGGCCCCGGCAGGAACAGCCTCGTCGTTAAGTTGCAAAAATAGCGAAGATAAAGGTGCTGGTTGAGACATTAGTTAAAAATACACTGAGAGAGAAGTATATGATATTTGGAACTATAATGATATAGTAACTAAATTATAGTCCGAAATATCATATTTATAGTGAGTATTATCATAATGTCGGTAATAATTACGATATAGGCA